GCTTTAATGACAAATTTCAAGTACGCACCCCTCCCTTTCCTACTCCTGTCTTTCGAAGAATATTATAGTTGACCGCGTTTTACACAATATAGAACTTTTTTTTTTTTGGCGACACCAGACCTACCTTGTCACAGTCTTAGCTGAATGTACAGTACAGAGTATTGCCAGAAATGTTCAAAATACTACTATCTTGTACAGTACAGAGTATTGCCAAAAAACGTTCACAACACCACTATTATGTACAGTACACACTATCGGAATAAATGTGCACAACACAACTATAATGTGCAGTGCTCACTATCGCCAGAAATGTTAATAATAATAGATAACAGGTAGTATTTGTATAGCGCAAATCCCCGCTCAACAGCAAGCTCTATGCACTTCACAATGTATGCTATCACCCCATCAGGCCTTAGAACATTCTGAAACAACCTCAACTTCCTGGGAAGCATACAGTGAAAGCAGCCATACACTAACATACTAACAAGATCTTTCGCTGTCTATGGTTGGGTACCCATTCCCACCTGGGTGAAGAGAGGAAAGTTCATGTGAAGTGCCTTTCCCAAGGACACAACGTCGGGCCCGTGGCTCGAACCCCCGAACCCACAACCTCACGGTTACGAGTCCGGTAGCCTAACCACTAGGCCACCGACGCCACAATAAGGTTCACAACACAGCTATTATGTACACTACAAACTATCGACATAAATGTGCTGGTGTTCATATGACCTTATGCAGTTGCTAGCGTCGTAAAACCTCTACTAAAGTAAAGAAATAAATGGTCACAACACAACTATATCATGCACCGACCTCCTCTTTCTCGTACCACTGGTGCTTCCGAACGTCTATCCATATAATAGTATATACCTCGGAGAACGAGAGGCCTTTACCATATACGGATCGCTTTGAGCCAAAATCCTCACTACCGAATAAGGACAAAAATAGAATGCAGTTCCTAACCAACCAGAACCTCTACCTTGAATGAAATACACGTTAAAAAAAGCACCACCAACAAAAGCAAAAAGCATAGCATGCGCACAGTGCTCGCATCCCGAATACTGCGCGCTCTCATAATATTCTGCAACCAAAACTGACAAGAATATTATTATTGAAAATGTATGTATCTTGTCGGTATGTTAGTGTTTTAGCGCCTATAAATGGCTGCATGCACTGTATGCTTCCCAAGAAGTTGAGGTTGTTTTAGAATGCTCTCAGGTTTGCTGGGGTAATAGTATAGATTGGGAAGCGCGCTATACAAATGTTATCTATTAATATTATTACTATTATTATCGCTTTCCCACGACAGAGTCCACAGAAAGCTATTTCATCCCCACAGGATCTCTATCTTCCAATTACAAAGCAGAAACACCAGCACTCGAAACAGCAGCCACCATTCTCTTGAATCACCAAAAATCTAAAGCCTACACCGTCATCCTCACAGATGACAAATCTGTCCTACAAGCTCTTCAAAAGCCACAAACAGCTCAAGTACGACAACTACTTTCACTCCTATGTGATCTAAACTCCCAAGCCAACACAACTTTACAGTGGATACCAGGTCACTGTGGCATTCATGGAAATGAAAATGCAGACGACTTAGCCAAAGAAGGAGCCAAAATGACCCAGACTGAAGATGGCATGGATCTCTCAGAGTCAAAAACACTAATAAAATCTGCCTTAAGAAACAGATGGAAAAGGTCCCACCCTAAACACAACAGACATGACCCCTACTACATACTAAACAGAGCAGACCAAGTCACAATCTTTAGACTCCGTTGTGGCCACAACAGACTCAAACACCATAATATGCACACCAAATTAAAAATGGGAGAGTCAGCGATCTGTGAATGTGGACACGACCAAGAGGATGCCAACCAGATCCTTCAGCACTGCCCACGCTACGCCACCCTTCGCTCACAGACGTGGCAGAATGTGGCTCTCCTTGAGAGAAAGCTCTATGGCAATCTGTCAGAGTTGAAGTGAACTGCACAGTTTGTGCGCGACATCGGACTGACTGTCTAGCTGCTGCCATCGAGAACGAAGAAGAAGAAGAAGAAGAAGAACACGGCAGAAACTGTAACCTGTAGCCTTAACCTTTGAACCGGTCAAGCCTCCTCAGTTCCACACACCAGGTAACAGAACAGGGTAGCAATGATAATATGTGCGTGCGCCTGGAGAAAGGTCCCATTTGTCAAAATTTTGGATATTGAAATAAGGTATACTCTTGTAGCCAACACCATGCTGAACACACTGATTTTTTAATATCATTTTTTTATATCTCACGTGTTTTTAAAGATATGCCACTTTTTGTAACAGAGTGTAAAAACAAAAATTAGGAGAAAAACCCAATTTCTAGCACATTTTAACCGTTGATAAAGTACAATACGCTGCAAAAAATACTCATAAAAATATTAAACCTAAAAATATTATAAAATCCTTTCAAAATCTTATTAAGAAATGATTAAATGTGTGTTTTCTGATAAAACTTAATTTTGACCAC